CAATTTCAGTATACTAAAACAAACAAATGGTGCAAAATATAAAACAAGGGAGATTCTCCTAGGTCAACTGATGAGAGAGTGAACCACTGCACGAGTACTTTATAGAGTTTCACAACTAGGTGTGGACGTGCCTAAATTTAGGCAGCTGGTAGAACTGAACTGCAAAGATTTTGGTGGAGTTATTCTGGAAGGGGTAGGTCAGTATTCTTTAAGGATTTCTTTTCCTCCTTTTGTTAACCTTGCTTTGTCCTTCTTGTAATGTTAAGTTGGCGAGCCTTTTGAATTGCATAACTATGACAAGCCTATTCTGTGGCATGGGGTGAGGCGATAAATGTAAAGGGCTCTAAACCAAATAAATTGGCATGCTGTAAATAACCCTTGCTATAAGAGATGCAAAACCATTGTTGTGGACCAACCTTCTCTGCTTGGCTCTGAGCTGTGTGGTAAGGTAGGTATGCCTCTGGGGTGCATCTTTAAATCATTCTAATTATTTTTCATTGTCCCTACCCAGGAGATATTAGTTATATAATACCTGTGCTCCATCTCCATTAGCTTCCCTAATTGGGAAAGTGCTCATGACTTCCCAGAGTTAATGAAGATGGTTCTTGTATTTTCAATGAGAGCTCTGTTGCTGCTCTGTCCCACTACGCTGCTGTTAAGCCAGAGCCCCTAACATAAGGGCAACCAATCTGGTGCCAGATGTTGGACTCTGAGCAGCATGGCCAGACAGGGATGAAGGGAGTTGGAGTCCAGAAACATCTGAAGGACAGCAGGTTAGGGCTGTCCTAGCACATGACACTTCCCTAACTGAAGCAAAGGTCTTATTCACACTCAGTGTTAGAAACTGAGATATGAAAGCTCAGAGCTAAATGGCACCTTAAACTTAGCTTATGGGCGCAACAGCAGAATGCCTAGGCACACTTTTTAATAAAAAGAATACAAAGCTGAAAATGAATGAACTACAGCTAAAATAAGTTCATTTTTCACGTGGTTTAGTCCTTCTCTTGCCCACCCCTTAATATTCTTAAGAGGGTCTCTTCTCCAGTCTTTAGAGAGTAGCTGGAACTGGGGAGGCAGAAAAAGGTCCTCCTTTCCTTTCAGTCTGCAGTTTTAATCTGAAATTTTAGGCTCAATACTGTGCCCAGAGCTTAGAAACTGCTCGTGCTAATGAAATTCCCTGTCGGAAAATGCTCCTAGAACAGTGGGAGTTCTGTTGAACTTGGAAGGACTTGTTTCTGAGTAAGTATGCACTGGCTCACTACCTTGCTTAATAAAGGAGTGGTTGGTTAACACTAATGTATTCATAACACTCACTACTGCTCAGGTTTTGATGATAATAATAATATCTGTCATTAAATGCTTAGTGCTTCCCCTGATTTTCAAAGCATTTCACACACCCTCTCAGTACCTTATTTGTAGTAAACCTGTGAGTCGAAGCGATATTGCCTGCATACAGCAGATCCGATTCTGAGAGATAGTAGTTTACCTAAGGCCATTCACTGAGTTAATGATTAAAGTGAGGTTTGAACTGAGGTTGCCACTATGCTGGACCAACTTTTTACAACTAGATGTGTAAAGTACCTATAACTTTTCCCCTCCTGCCAAAAATCACATTCTCTAAATTGGCAGGGAAGGGCATTAGTGTGAAGACCACAGTAGAGGTGAGGAAGTAAGAAGTGCCACTGCCTTGGCCTGCTCCACAAACAACATTTTTCATGCAGATTATAGCTTCCACGCATGCCTACGTTTTTTGCAAAATGAAAGAAACTACATGTGACTCAGCATCACATGTTGTTTGGGTGCAAGGTTACGAAAAGCATCTTAAATGCAGTGAAGTAAGTAATTTAGTCACATGCTTAACACTATGGCTTATGTGTCCTTTTTTCTCCATCAGATAAAATGTCAACTTCTCTCACTTAAGGACTTTTTGTCACAAAATATTGCCAAATTAGCATGTTTTGTTCAATGGGCTCAGAAGCCAGATTCCCCATCCTTGCCTTGATGCATATAGGCATACTTGGCATTAAATTTCATGAAAATTGGTCCCCTAACTGAAATGCCAAGAAGTTTCATGATGACCATTGGACCAAAATGATGGGCATCTGTGCTGCGCATATATATACAGTGGACGCTCGGCTTGTGAACGTGATCCGTGCGGGAGGCACGTTTGCAACCTGCAGCTTTCGCAACCCACAGCGCCATGTCTGCGCACACGCGGATTGCAATTCGGCACTTCTGTGCATGCTCAAAGTGCAATTTAGCACTCTGCGCATGCGTGGCTGCCGAAACCTGGAATATAATTAGATTTTCTATTTTACAATTTTAAATACTCATTTAAACATCCTTACAGTATCAGTGACTTCCCTTCTTCTCCTTACATGGTTCATTTTGCATACCATAAATCCCAGCATATTTTACATAAACTAAACCATTCAGTATTCCATTATTATAACCATCAAAACTTATTTACACTGTTGAATTTATCTTAAGGCTGCCAGCATTTTCAAGTGTACACATTCCCCCCCCATTCAATAAACATTTTCCAATTTCCTTTTAATGTATAAAGAAGATTGTGCTGTATATTTTGGATAACCAAAACATAATTATCAGACCAAGGGAACAAAACTAGTTTGATTTGATTAGAGAAGCTGGGAAGTATGTTATTACTCTTTCAGCTCAGATATTGGTATTGTAATGTAATCAGTTACAAAAAATGGCATTGGTTTTGACTTGAACCAAGTATTGATGCAAAATGATTAGAAGTAGATTTTTTCTATCTCGTTAAAACTAGGCACCTTATGCTGTATGTACAGTGCACTAATGTACTACCTGATAATGCACTTTTAAAAGAGGAGAACGCATGATACTCTTGCATAGGATCTCAGTTTTGTGACTAGTTCAGCAGCCTTAGAATGTGGCCTAACATGTTCAGAAACTTATAAAACGCAAGTCTGTGGTCTAAACATAGCATAAATGTGAATATCTACCACAAGAGGAACTGTCACCCAGTTAGTGTTGTGCACCCATCTCCATTTATCTAATGCATAGTGTATGGAATTTGTATGTGCTTTGTATAAGTTTTTGCACATTGTTCTTTGAGTGGGACTAGCCTTAAGGTAACACTAGGCAACTACCTTGGCTAGCATTTTTTGTTGGAGTAGTAGATGGAAAGGGTTTTCTATTGCTACCTTGATGCTTTTGCAGCTTAGGATGGGGCTTCAATTGTCTGTATAGCTCTTTGCCTATTGTACTAACCCTTCTAGGTTGGCAGAAGCTGGGACAGAGCAACAGGAGCTCACGCCATTGGCAGATTCGAACTGCCAACCTTCTGATCAGCAATCCCAAGAAGCTCAGTGGTGGTACTGAATCCATGCAATGGGGTGAGCTCCCGCTGCTCTGCCCCAGCTTCTGCCAACCTAGCAGTTCAAAAGCTTACCAGTGCAAGTAGATAAATAGATACCGCTGTGGTGGGAAGATAAACAGCATTTGCATGTGCTCTGGCACTCGTCACAGTCCTCCACGTGCCAGTAGCAGTTTAGTCATGCTGGCCATGTGACTCAGAAAGCTGTCTGTGGACAAATGCTGGCTCCCTTAGCCTGAAAAGCAAGATGAGCACCACACCCCATAGTTGCCTTTGACTGGACTTAACCATCCAGGCATCCTTTACCTTACTAACCCTTCTAATTCTAGTCTCTCTTTAGTTCTTCCCCTTTGAAAACCCATTTCTTGCATCACAAAGCAAAATCTTAAGAGATGTCTTTCTAATGTAGAATAAATGTAGTTATCTTCAGCTGTCTTCTAAGCACTTCTTTAATTGGGCTGATCATTAGATCTTGAAAATATATTCTGACCAGCAGCTCATGTCTTCAGCTGCCAACTATATAACCAAAATGTTCTTGTTGAGAAACAAATATTTTGATGTCCATTTAATATGATAAGTATACAGTGCAGCAATGTGATAGGAATCCAGATTGCCATCTTCAAACAATGTCCATTGCTTAGTCTTGATTAAACTCATTGCCCAACACTGAAGAAATGCCTACTTTGCATGGTAAACCTGACATACTATATTGGTGTTGCTGGGGGGGGGGGGCTCTCACACACCTATTTATGTGCAATTTCTGGTGAGGGAGATGTTGATTGAACTGTTGTGAGTTAGAAACAGATGCTGGTTCGAGGTTCTAAATTATTTCTTTGAAGGGGTACTTTTTGGGACATTAAACTGAGAGGAGGCATTTCATAGTGCTACATGGGCGCTGTTAGGTACAAGGAAGGTTGCAGTTCTGAGGAACTGAATTTCTTGTCTTGTTTACTTGTCCTTGGATTCAACTGTTTGGTTTTGAGAGAGAGCATCTCATTCTTTAGCTCAAGACCAGGCACAGGCAAACTTGGCCCTCCAGATGTTTTGGGACTACAACTCCCATCATCCCTAGCTAACAGGACCGGTGGTCAGGGATGATGGGAATTGTAGTCTCAAAACATCTGGAGGGCCGAGTTTGCCTATGCCTGCTCAAGACCATTTCCCAGCAAACTCTTAATCCTTCTCTTTTAAGAGTAAATGCTACATTGTAAAAATCCAACTCAGATGTGTTGGCACCTTCCTTTCACAATGTGCGCTCTCTCTCTCTCTCTCTGGGTGTCTGTTAGCCCTCAGTGCTTTCCAACATATTAGCTACATTGCATGTTGTGGGAATAATGGCAGGAATCTGTATTTATGGGTGAACATTGGTGGTGTAAGTAAGTGAAGCCAGAACGGTTTTGTTGGAGCAGACTTTTCTACCCTTACACCGCTTAACTATATTTGCACATATTGCAAATGTTTCATTATTGAATTTGTCATATTGGCTTTCTGGTAAACTGATCACAGCAAAAACAATGTTTGCTTGTGGGATATGGGTCCTACAGACCCTGCCTTCAACCTTTGTTATTGCGCCAGTACTTCTGTATGATCAGAGTTGTAATGCAGTGTTGCTAATTGGGTATGCATTGTGTTGTTTCAGTGATGTCCTCGCGCTCCCAATCTTTAAACAGGAAGAGCCTCAACTCTCCCCTGAGAATGACACAAAACTCCCTCCATTTCAGTATGTGCTCTGTGCGGCCACATCCCCTGCTGTGAAGCTTCATGAGGAGACACTGACTTATCTAAACCAAGGTAAGACTAACACAATTAAATAGAAAATTGCACTCCAGAATTTGCCAGACTAAATACAGCAATTCTTCAGTTCTTTTTGGCCTGACAGTTGCCAAAACCACATGTGTGACACTCTGGTCAGTGCATGCAGCAAGCTCAGAGAACATTACATGAAAGAGAATGGAATAGAAGTGTAGAGATCGGGTCTTTAAACACCAAATTAATATTTCTGTGAAGCTGAGAGTTGACATATAGCCAACAAAGTATATATGGTTCTGATGAGCAGTTCTTCTTTGTTGTCCTTTGAAATGTGGTACTTGACTTCTGGTAACACCTTAGTGGTCTGCTCCAGTAAGATTGAAGACCAGCTCATTGCTGAGTGGTGAAAATATTGGCTTAGAAGGGCAACAGGGACCAACCTCTTCCAGGTTCTGCATCAGCACTCACCATTATTCTCCCTTTATCTACCCTGCAAATGAGTTGGGCACTGTCATTACACAGATACTTATTTCTAGTTGGTCAGGGTTTTGCTTTGGGTGGTTTTTTTAATGTTTGAAGGAATAATGAAGTTGTGTGTGTTGTGAGTTGGTTCTCTTCATTCCTACCCCTCTCACACCAACGGCACAGGCCTGTCATGTGTTACTGTGTTGACATGGGAGCCACTTTCCCATGATCAGCCACCCTGGCAAGTCTCTGCAGAGAGGAATTTTAGGGGTTCAACAAGTGATGTGGATCCTTCCCACACCACTTTGTGTCCCTCTGTCATTTTGTCCAACTCTCAATGTTTCCTCTTGACAGATGTTACTAGATTAGCATTAGATGTAGCCACAAGGAAGCAGCTCGGAGGCTGCTCCAGTAATGTATGGATTAGTCCTACCTAAAGCATTTCAATTTTCTTTTCTTTTAATAAGGTGACTTATGCCTGTCTGAATTGCAGATATATTAGAAAATGTGGTTGCAAAAAATGGGAATAAAGTGCCAAATAGATATACCTAAGTTGTGAGCCAGTGTTGCTCTGTGTTTTGTGCATGCAGCAAGCTTACAGTACTTGGTACCGAAATAATTCTCTTTAAATCTTTTTTTTTTTAGTGCATGACCTTAGTTATTTTATCCTACACCTCCAGCTCTATATCAGCAGGAAAAGTAATATCTTATCTCAGAGCACACAATGTGGTCAGAGAATATACAGCTTTCCAAGCTTCATATAATTTCAGAAATGGACCTGCAACAAAGCATAGTGTGTGGGTGGGTGTGGAATTGTGCCTTCTTGTATAATCAGTTCCTGTATCCTTATTGTGCAGTTTTCTCTGTAATATGTTTTTTTAAAAAGTTTTGTTTTTGAACATACTTCACTGTATGCTTCCAAAAGTAGTTCTAATTACTACTGATGGAGTGATTTAAAGTCCTGTTCTGGAATGGGATATGTTCCATGATGAGATGCGATTATGTGTAGGAGACATGGTGATGGGAAAGACAGACAGTGGCTTCTAAGTGCTATGGTGATTGCTCATGTAAATGTTCTTCATTAGGAATGTTACACAATTGGTATCTTAAATAATGTATTACTTTAAAAGAGCTGCTGCTATGGTGTCTGTATTTTTAATTTTGCTAAAGGCTCCTTTTTACATTCTTAGTTTCTTGATCTAGGAAGACTTTAAATTTGAGAACCCATAAGTTTTGTTTGGCCATTGATTCCATTTCCTCACAGCACAACGTAGCAAGCGTGGTTACCTTTTAGCTATAGGTATTTGGGGGGGGGGGGAAAGGATCCTGCCATCAACCAGGGGCATCCCGCCATTGACAGGTAGATAGTGATCGAACTGGACTAAACTATATAAACTGGACAGCCCTGGACTAAACTATAAAAATAATGGATCTAGAGCAACATAAGATACCAAAAAAACCCCACCCCTTTCTTACATCTGTGGAAACAGAGCTTACCTATGATGGTGACTTTTGGGGGATCCCTTGTAAAACTCATGAGGACTCATAAAGATCTGTGGTTGCCTTGTTTTTACCATAGCAGTAGTGAAGATGCTGAGTCTGAGGATTCTGTGGAGGCAGATGTAATTGGTGGCGATTGAAGGGATAAAAATCATGCCATTTCAAGAGGACCCATTTAATCATACTGGATCTTTTTTTAAAAACGCAAAATCCAGCAAATCCCCATATTAACACAGCAATGGAAACCCAACCCCACTGAAGCCTGTGGGCCCTAGTGTACCCTTTACAGATACAGCTGCATCCCTCTATTTTCCTCTAGAAAGGGACAAGATGCTTCAGATGCAATCAGCAGACAATATTCTCAGCAGACATGAATCTGTGCAGGCTGTTGCTAGAAAGAATGCAAGACAACTTCCCTATCCCCGCAAGTCCTTCATGCGTATACCAGATGACCTGGCAGAGGGTCTAGACAACCACAAATAATGACTGGATTCCTAATCATAGGGTAATAGTTTGGATCCTAGGAAAGATACACGGGTGGGTGCCATCGTAAGTGCAATACCTCAGCTATGCAATGTGTTTGAACACAAAGGAGTGATGGAGAGGGGACTAGAGTGGTTGCTCTTTTCTATGTGAAAATAACTGGTTTCAAGCATTTCAGAGAGAAAAAGCAGCAAAGAGTGCAAAATGAGTAGAACAGTTTGGTTCTCCTGAGCAGAAATAGACTTCTAAACAGCCCTTTTGAATAGTACAATTCACTAATTCACCCTTCCTTACTGAAAAGAGCCAGAGAAGCAACAAATGTTGGCCAACTTTGGCAACCAAGCAAAAAATTATGATTGCTAGGAACCCTGGCCACCTCCTCGTGTCACTGCAGTGTGAGCTCCCTGCTCCCCCTTACCAGCACATAGCTTGGATCTGGAATTGATGTTTGTGTTGGTCTGCATATTCAAGATGTGCTGGTTGCCACCTGACAACATAGCAGCTCTTGAACTACCTCCAGCTCTTGAGGTTGAGAGGAGGGGTAAGGGGCTGCTGTGCAACTATTAGGACAACCCATCTTTGCAAGTTCTAAGATTGAGAGGAGGGCTGGAGCTCAGCACACTTGCCAGAGGGCAGAAGCATGCTTGCCATGAGCAAAAAATGTAAAATACAGACACTTTAATCAGAAGGACAGATCTTTCAAATATTTGATTTGTTACCTTTCTGTCACCACCTCCCCAAACTGTTGGCAGGCAGGCATCTCTTTTGTCCTAAATGGAGTGCTGTTACATTTATATGGCTTAAATTGCAGGAGGAAAATAGTCTTATTAAATACAAAGAGCCCATAAACCACCTTCCAAAGACAGGTGGAGTTGCTGTGCATCATACAGCCCAGGAACATTGTGAACCTGGCTTGTTTTTACTACCTTTCTTTTATTGTGGAGCAGCACTGTATACATTATACTCAGCTTTCTTAGAAGTATTATGTAAATGCCTGTTGCTTCAGGGGTGTCCTCCTCTGATCTTGTCCTAGTCCTAAAAGATTTAGTATAAATATTTAAAATCAAACAATATATGCTAAGTAGTGATGGGCAACACTATAAATGAATGTTCATGTTTAATTCTGTGCTTTTCTGAATGTACCCTGTAGTGGCTTTTGCTCTGACAGGAATGGGGAATCCCTCCAGCTGTTTCTGCCATCTCTGATAATTAGTCATACTGGCTGGAACTAATGGAATCTGGAGTCCAGCAACATCCAGAGGGCCACAGGATCCCATCTTTGTGTATAGGTAGAAGAACGTACTCCGTAGTGGCTAGTTAAAAATGTAGTGCCTCACCATCTTTATTATGTCTAGATCTCGTGAGAAGGGAGCAGTTTGTTATGTCTAGATCTCGTGAGAAGGGAGCAAACCTAGCAGTTTGAAAGCGCATATATATATATATATATATTTGCTTTCATATATATATGGCATGCATAGATACAGATAGAGGTGGCTGAAAGCAGAATGGTGGTTGTTCTCAATGACCCTCAGTGCAGGTTCACCCTCTGAGTAGTAAGCCACTAATGGTAGCCTGATTAAACTCTTAACTTTGTGGTTATCTCAGTCACTACATCCTGTAGGAATTGGCATGCTGTAAAATGTAATACTCATTTTATAGTTTTACTATCACTTACTCCATTCCTGTTGTATGTCTTTTGTAGGTACAAGGCTCTTTATGTCATATTTTTTAACCTCTAATAATGTAGTGAATAAAAGCATTGCATGCAAGAATGCAGTGCCTCAAGCTGCCAAAGTATTAAGAATGAAACATCGTTAACTGTCATATTGGCTCCAAGCCCATACACAGAAACACTGTGTAGCTGAATTGAAAGAGGAATGTAACATTTCATTGCTGGGTTGATTCAGTTAATGCACATTGGTCACATCAAGGGTGTCTTTTCATAGATAAGAGACCAGTTTAGCGTCTAGATCTAACATGCCTTCCCTTGATTATCACTTCATCAGGTCTATTTAACCTGTCCTTTGACACTCCTTAGTTGCAGCGGAAAGGTAAACTGAGACTGGTGGTTGAGTCTAAAAATACACTGGCCAGTTTTAGAGGTGACACCTTTTAAGCTACAAATGTACATAAGATGTTCTTTTAACAAAGCTGTAATGGGGCTACCTTGTCTAATGGGGATAGGTGACAGCAAATTGTATTCTGTGCCTCAATGAAGTCTTCCTCTGTTGCCACAGTTCTTTCTGTGTTAAAATTTCAATTGGGTAACCGCCTATAATTTGTCAAAGGATTGCCCACTGGATGGTCATGTCTTTCCCACTGATTCACAAGTACCTCATTGGACAGGGGTTGCCAACCTTTTTGGATCAGCAGTCACATTTTGAACTTTGGTAAAGTGTTGTGGGCACCAAACACAAAATGGCTGCTGTGGAGGCATAACACAAATCTAGAAAGTACCCTCATTGCTGTTTCCCCACAGAGAGTACAGTAATTGTTGTTTCTCCACCTCAATCTCAATTAAAGGAAGTCAGCTATGTCCTGGTGGTCCTGATTGTGGAGATCACACATGATATCTCTCTCTCTCTCTCTCTCACACACACACACACACACACACACACACACACAGTCTCACGCATATTGACCACAGGTCACAGACACACACGGATATCTCTGTCTCTGACCCACTCCCTTCTCCCTCTCACAGACCATACATACATACATACATAATCTCCCACTTCTCCCCCTCTGCAAACACACACATCACATGGCCATCTTTCCTTCTCTCTCTTAAATGTATCTTTACCTCTCTCACAAACAGGCATCTGCAGGAATATTACCTGGGGTGGGGGTGGGGGGAGGGAGGGAAGGGGTAAAATAAAACACTGAAAGGGTGGGGAAGGCTAATTTCTCACATTTATTTATTTTTTTTAAGAAGAATGGTATCTGTACGTTTTGCCTCACATCTCAGGTTCTAAAAAATGCTAGAAACTTCTTTTAAAAAATGAAAGCTGAGAATCTGTGGTTTATGGCTCATCTCAGGGACACCAAAGAAGGCCTTTGTGGATGCAGGGTTGGAGACCCTTGACTTAGGCTGGTACTGGTTAGGAGGAAGTTTACACCCAACACACACACACTCACTGTTACTAACCATATCCGCAAATGAAATCCTCCTATTCAATATTTTTAAATTTAGAACATTTTTATCCTGCCTTTCCATCCTGGAATTTGAGGTGGCATATATGGGTTTCCTAGGTAGTTTGCCATTGAAGCACTGATTGTGCGACCAGAGCTGCTTAACTTTAGAAGGTGTTATGTGCCTTCAGACCAGGCCATGACCAGCACTAATAATACTGCAGATCCAAGAAGATATGCCATACAGTATTTGAAAAACCAAATGGTGCTGTTCTTCTCTGTTGGTAAAAACATAGCAGCATTTAATGGTGCTCCAGATTCTGTCACCTCCTTCGGCCTAATAGTAGGGCCAATCATGAGACTAAGTTACAGCTTCCTGCTGCTTGCAAATTACTACATTCCCCCCACCTCTCCTTTTTGCACAAAGTTCCATTTTATTCCTGAGCTGCTTGTCCAGCCACAGCTAATGTCATAATTTCCATGGTTGCAATCCTTCGTAGAACTTTAAGGCTATCAGAATAAATATTGTCCCTGGAGTGAGTTCCAGAAAAGTAGCATTCTTCTTTCTCTGCAGGAGGGAGATATACCGGCCATTTCATTTTACTTTGGAGAGTCAACTCCGCCACTGGTCAAACCAGAACTTAAAACTGATCACCATTTTAGATTGTCTTGTTACACATTGATCTGCATTCTTGTGCAAGGTTGGGAGGTGGCTGCAGGAGGAACTTGAAAAACCAGCTCCTGTGGCTCTGCTCCCTGATTTTATTGTATTTATCATTTTGCTCTTGTTCTTGATATTTGTTTACTAAACAATGTTTTTTTTGCATTCAGAACTAAATTATATCACCAATCAGGGGTGGGTGGGTGTAAAGGACCCCTGGACGGTTAAGTACAGCCAAAGGTGACTGTGGGGTTGTGGCGCTCATCTTGCTTTCAGGCTGAGGGAGCCGGCGTTTGTCCACAGACAGCTTTCCGGGTCATGTGGCCAGAATGACTAAACCGCTTGTGGTGCAACGGAACACCGTGACAGAAATCAGAGTGCACAGAAATGCCATTTACCTTCCTGACGCAGCGGTACTTATTTATCTACATGCACTGGCGTGCTTTTGAAGGTCGGCGGTTCGAATCCCTGTGATGGGGTGAGCTCCCGTTGCTCTGTCCCAGCTCCTGCCAACCTAGCAGATCCGTGTGTTCTGGCTTCTGTCACAGTGTTCCATTGCTCCAGAAGCAGTTTAGTAATGCTGGCCACATGACCCAGAAAGCTGCCTGTGGACAAACGCTGGCTCCCTTGGCCTGAAAGCGAGATGAGCACCACTCCCCATCGTCGCCTTTGACTGGACTGAACCGTCCAGGGGTCCTTTACCTTTACCTTTTTAAATATATATATATATAGAGAGAGAGAGAGAGAGAGTGTGCTAATTGTTGTGGGCTGTTTTAACATATAAATAGTCTAAAAAGAGTAGCTTTGTGTTGAAAGTTGATGACTAGACCATTTGCCTCATATTGATAAGTCTACTGAGCAGACACAGCTGTGTTTCTAATAACATTTAGCAAGCCCAGAGCAGAACAGATCTGTACATCTGGAAATAATGCCTCAGATGTTCTTATTGAAAACTTGTATGTTAAAAGACTGTGCTTATTGGGAGTGATTTTAAGAAGCCAGCCTGTCAATCTATGAGTTGGGATCCTATGGGAGTTAGTAAATAAACGTGGCTGCTGAGAGAACAGGAGGTAGACCCAATTCCACCATCACAGTTCTGTAAAGAACATATATTTCTAAGGCTTTGTGCATCCATTGAATTAGGCCAGTCATTTAGGATGCTGCCTTGGTTCTTGGTGGGCATCACCTGTTCTGAGCAATTAGCAGTTAATTTCCTGGTTGCTAAGGATACTGACAGTGCAGTTAGCAATGTATTGTGTTATGAGCTGTGGGAGCCACAGTTTGTGGGGGGCAGATTCCCCTAAATTTCTGAGTCTAATAAGTGTTAGAATTTACTCAGTGCTTGGGAGTGTTGAAATTGGCTGCCAGGCACGGGATTCAGTAAAATGTTAAAATGCAGGCCAGACCAGCTTCCCATGTTCAGGAAATCACTTGGGAGATCAGCCCTTAACCAACAACAAAGGGAAGGCAATGGGCCATTTGGAAGGCTAGAGAGAGGGGACTCTGTCAGATGGCCCTTGGGAGTGGCCCCTCCTCTAGCTCTGTTAGTTAGCAGGACAAAGGCCAGAGTTTGAAGGAGAGCAATTTTTTAGGGTTGCAGTCTGTTAAACGCAGGAAGCTGAGAAAGAGGGCCATGGCTGGCATCTGTTTGAATCCAAAGCCGCTGTGGCTATAGCAGAAGCAAAACCCTTTTGGGGTGTTAATGCTGTGAATGCTTTCATCGTAGGCTCAGGTTATCTATATGTATAAATAAACCATATATCCTAAAATCACCACAGTCTGTGCCTCATTTCCAAAGGAAACACGAACCCTGGGTAAGCGCCTGAAACCCCTGGAATCTCTCACTACTCAGAGATTGGGGCATCATGTAACAGTGTGTTTACTCAGAAGTCCCTCTGCGTTCGTACATGCTATGTTTGTTTAGGACTGTAGACTGAGAGCAGCAGCAGAAGCTGCCTGTCCATACAGCTGTTCACAAACAACTAGAGGGAAAGATCCAGAGCTTAGATATTCAATCAAGGCTGTGACAGCACTCTTTTGCACAGTGCATCCCGATGCTAAAAGGAGATGCCAGCCAACAAACAAATAAACACAAAACCAGTTATGGAACACTTCATGTGGGCTTGTAAACCACCAGTGGTCTATGGTTCAGAACCTACTGCTTGAAGATGCCTTTCTTCCAGAAGCAGACATGCTTATTAGACCATAAATATGCTTTAGGTCCCCCATACATGACAAGTTTAAAGAAAGTGCCAAGGAATTTGAAGACGCTGTGTTCTTTAAATTTCCAAATGGATAATCTGGCCAAGGGCTCAGTCTTCCTCTCTTAAGAGGTTACAGTAATGCCTGACCATTTCCTGGGAGAAACTTGCTATATTGCAAACAGAAAAAAAAATCACCCTTCCCAACCAAGCATGATTGATGCCAGTGCAACTGTCTATTTCTCTTCTTGCTGCAACATGCTTAACCTGCAACATGCTTAAACACCTTGGAAATGTTTCCTTGAACTCCTAGGTCAGTCTTATGAAATCCGTCTACTTGAGAATAGGAAATTGGGAGAGTTTCAAGATTTAAACACAAAATATGTAAAGGTAAGGAGATTTTCTTCCTGCTGCTACATACAGGCACACTCTAATAAGATGGTCATACCATTGGAAGAGAATTGACTAGGGAGAGGGCAGGACTTCAGGGTGGAGTGGGGTGGGCTTTCTGATCTGAATTCCTTTCGATTCAAGCAGGAGTTGGCAGTTTGGGTTCTGGAGCCCAGTATATGCCAGCGGATTTCTGTTTTTCCTGTCTTCTTTGAATAATTTTTACATCTGTTATTCATAAAAGACCAAATAGTACATTTACCTCACCAATCCCCAATGTGTTTTTAAGAGTTCTGGGGTCTATTCTAGGGTGTTATTTTATTTTTTTAGTATACAGCATTTTTCTGGCCTGGCCTTTCAGGCCTCAATGCTGACTTCAGGGTCCAGCATTCCTCAGAGCTTCACATTGCAGAGAAACATTGGCAACAATCGACAAATTGTATCTTGGGGGATCATGTCTATTATCATGGTTTTTTTGTTGGCGAAATGCCCCAATGAGTATTTAAGGGCACATGGCATTCCTGAGTACATAGCTTGAAAACCACTGATATAGACCTCTTCCCCCGACCTCCTATTCACATGTCTTGGATACAGAATACACCCTTAATGCTTGCTCACATGCTACATGTTGTACTCCCACAGTTACATATCTTGCTTTTCTTTAATTCTTATTCCAGCCATGGGAGGGAGGGGAATTGTTGTTGGGAAGCATAACAAGAAGGAAGGTTTATCCTTTCTCTCCTTAGATGCAACTCACCAAATATCCTCCCCAACAGCTACAGGGCTTAGTAAAAAGAGAGAGAGAGAAAGGGCCCATTGACACCCCGGAAGATTGGGGGTAGTCACTCCTGCATGTTGCAATCCCAATAAAAAATCTCCCTCTCCACAGATAAAGTAAAGCAAGACATGTAACTGTACGCTACACATAAAGTGAAACATATAGTTTGACCCTTATTTGGGAGATGTATTATCTTTTGTTTGATTTAAAGAGAAATGGAAAAGGTATTTAATAACTTTCTGCATGTAAATACATGACATGTCAAGGGTGTTTAGCTATCTGTCCTTTCACCACTGCTGCTGCCACCACTCATGATCCTTATCTACAAGGTGTGGCCTTTGACAGCAGCATCCAGTGCTTACTCCTTTCCTGCTTGTATGTGGCAATAGATGTAGTGAGTAGGGGGGTCAATACAGCACAGCCTTAAACCAGTCATTTTATGAATAATTTACTAACTTGACATTTCTCCTTGGCTTAAAAACCCAGTCTTTGGGCTCAAGAATATAGCATGTGAACAAGCATTTAGCAAAACATTGTGGAGTCCCACCTTGCGCAAAGTAAGCTGCAATAAGCGTCACAAATCCCACTGTAGAATCCACATAAGGAATCTCTTATCCTGGTCCACCTTTCATGTCATAGGCACAGCTCACAAAATGCAACTGGATCCCAAAATACGTGGGAGGAGGGAAGGTCATCAATGCAAATAGGTCATTGGATGAATAGTTTTGAGTCTCACACCCATTCCTTCAAGGGTTCTTCATTTGGATACAGATGTTCTAGTGTCTAATTCCCCCCCCCTTCAACAAATGTTCCAATGAAATGGCTTTGCTTTAAAGAAAGGGGCCATTTGCAAAATCTGATATTCGTGCTGCATATTGCAAAAGCAGGTTGTTTCGTTGTTGGTTTTTTGTTTAGATTTGGGTTCCCACCCCTCAACATCCAGCATACACATCTGTAATTTTATTACATTTCTTTGAAATAATCTAATCCTTTTGTTTTTAGGTTTTCAAGTTGTATGTTCAAAATATTTCAAATCTCCTTCCTGGATAGTGTGTCACCAAAACAAGACTTCTGTAAATGGGATGTGAGGTCTAGCCAAATGGCATTGGTACCCCACAGAATAAATGCTCTATGCCTTCAGCCATATTTACAGCTTGATCCTGGTGTATTTTCAACAGAAGGATAAAAACATTCCCCAGGTGTCAATTACAGCATGAAATTAATTTGGCCAAGCTGGCTGATAATAGTAGCAGCAAAGTTGTTATCTATAGGATTGTCTTTAGACACAAAATCTTTCAGTTTCTCATTATTCTTCCTAGTCTGTTTGGTGTATATGGTGATGGGTGACGTTTGTAGAGAGCTACATCACCTTGCTTGTCAGCATTTAAAAAAGTGGAGCTTGTCTGCATTAAAAAAAGATGTACCTGAATCACTTCATTAACTTCAGCCCTCTTCTTCTCTCTCAACAGAGCATCATTCGTGTGGTTTTCCATGATCGCCGTCTGCAGTACACAGAGCACCAGCAGCTCGAAGGCTGGAGGTGGAGTCGGCCAGGAGATCGCATCCTTGACATAGGTGAGAACTTTTCATTATGTTGTCCTTTGAGGTGTTTCCTGAAGTAATCTACAAGATATTTCTTCAAGGCACTTTCACGTTGTAAAACTGCAAGCTTTAAATCAAGTCATGCTCCTCCTCATGGAATCAGAGCATCCTATATTTTTTTACAGTATATTTTCTACTGCCCCCAGCATGTAGGTATGTATTTCATTGTTTGCATTGTAAATATATTTATACCCCACTTTTTTTTGTTGAAAACTAATTTACACTTAAAACCAAAACAGAACACTGCCTAATCAATAAAATTACCACAACTCAACAACATAAAACACTGTGGTTAAAAAGCCATCTTAAATGACATCATGCCTAAGCATCCATTTTGGTTCTTAATATGAGAATACTATTGCAGTCACAGCAAGATGGGGGGGGGGGATTGATTCTCATGCAAAATGGAGTTTGTTATGTTTCTTTCTGACTTTTCGAATGCATCTGGTGATTATATTGCAATGTTGTTTCTGCTCTTCAATTTTAATTTTTTTAAAATTTTAGGGGTTTTCTTCTACAGATATCCCACTGTCAGTCGGCATCCTAGATCCCAGAGCCAGCCCCACACAGCTGAATACAGTAGAATTTTTGTGGGATCCCTCTAAGAGAGCATCAGCATTCATTCAGGTAAGGAAAATAACATTCTATTTTTTATTCCTTTTTTTTTAAAAAAAAACAACAACAACCACATTCTCCTTTTAAAATCTTCTGGGACACATATTTCATTGAGTATATATAGAGAATTTCAAACCAGAATGGATGGAAGATTTCCACTCTAGCTTTGGTTTCTTGTTATAATACAGACAATAATTTTTTTTACTGACAGCTACATAGATTCAAATAAAACAATTTCACATAACTGAATTTTCTTTTAAGCCTACAGTGCTAGTAGATTTTGAAGAGATAATAGGAATACAAGTAGAAAGAATAATACAATATGCCATAACGAAACATATCCAACATATTAAGGGGAGAAAGATCAAACCTTTTCAAGTAATAAGTGAAAACAAAACCTTTCCACCTCAGCTGGCTAGGCCAAAGCAAACTAGCAATATTTTGATGGTTGTTCAAGCAGGGTGTAGAAATCCTTTTACTTAACTTCATTGCCCAGTAGTAGTTCTGGATATTGCTTATTAGGAATGTGTTCAGTCCAATAAGCCACCACTTTTCACCTGGCTGGCAATGTTGCTTGTAATGGTGAAAGGTAGTTGTCTAGACTGAAATCATCAATCTGCATGCAGCCGGTGCAAAAACCATTTTTGAAAATAAGCACCATCAACTGAACAAAGAAGTAAATAAAATCAGCTGGCAGTGCCAAATTACTAATATATTTTGCAAAAACTGTAAGAGATTGTTGGAATGAGAACATTGGTGCAAATGTAATCCTCAACGTTGCCTTTTCTTTTATTATTTTTTTTTTAAGAAAGTTGTTAAGGGGAAATTTGTGTTTGATAGAAAGAAGCTGGTGAGAGGGAGCGTGCACTGTAACCTTTGCTGATTTCTTGATTATGGCAGCCTATGCATTATACCTTTGAAACACCTTCTTTCTGTCAAAGAATTCTGGGGCCCTAAGTTACCCCTCACCGACCCACCATTTCCAGCCCCCTTTAATAAACTACAGTGTCCAGAATTCTTTGCAGGTAGAGGGAGAGAATCTGCTTCAAATGTGGCTTAAAGGTATGGTGTGTACACAGACTACAGATAATGGACAGGCTAGAAGTCTGCACTGGTCCTACTTGGGGCTTGTTAGATCTCATCTTTATAATAAAATCAAATGCTCTGTTCAGGGAACTTGAAGCCAAACCGTTCCTTTTTCACTAGGTGCATTGTATTAGTACAGAATTTACTCCGAGGAAACATGGGGGAGAGAAAGGCGTACCCTTCCGGATACAAATGGACACCTTCAAACAGAATGAGAATGGCGAATACACAGACCACTTGCATTCTGCAAGCTGCCAGATCAAAGTCTTTAAGGTACAAGGGTTGTGGGATTTTCAGAACAGTTTTCACTTGGTTATGAAATTCACTTGGTGACCATGAGCAAATCGCTCTTCAGCCTTGCAGGCTTGTTATGAGGTTAAAACACTCAGTTTTCTAAAGTGAGCACAATACAATACAGTACAGATAAATAATACAAAGACTAGGCTGTTGGTCGTAATGATCAAATACTACTCAATGCGGATAGGATGTGTTCATTCATTAAACGACACAAATCTCAGTGTCACTTTTGTTTGGATATCAAGGGAAATAGCTGCACTATCTGTTGGCTTAAAACTATTTATTCTGTGTGCTTTATAGCCTAAAGGAGCAGATAGGAAACAGAAGACAGACAGAGAAAAAATGGAGAAGAAAACTACTCAAGAAAGGGAGAAATATCAGCCATCCTATGATACAACCATTCTGACAGAGGTATGGTAGGTCTGTTGCTACAATGCCAAATGGTACGTAGGCTGAGACCCTATCTGCCTGCGGACTGTCTCGCCAGAGTGGTGCATGCTCTGGTTATCTCCCACTTGGACTACTGCAATGCAATCTATGTGGGGCTACCTTTGAAGGTGACTCGGAAACTACAACTAATCCAGAATGCGGCAGCTAGACTGGTGACTGGGGGCGGCCGCCAAGACCATATAACACCGGTCTTGAAAGACCTACATTGGCTCCCAGTACGTTTCCGAGCACAATTCAAAGTGTTGGTGCTGACCTTTAAAGCCCTAAACGGCCTCGGTCCAGTATACCTGAAGGAGCGTCTCCACCCCCATCATTCTGCCCGGACACTGAGGTCCAGCGCCGAGGGCCTTCTGGCGGTTCCCTGATTGCGAGAAGCAAAGCTACAGGGAACCAGGCAGAGGGCCTTCTCGGTAGTGGCGCCTGCCCTGTGGAACGCCCTTCCAGCAGATGTCAAAGCGATAAACAACTACCTGACATTCAGAAGACATCTTAAGGCAGCCCTGTTCAGGGAAGTTTTTAACGTGTGATATTTTACTGTATTTTTGGTTTTTATGGAAGCCGCCCAGAGTGGCTGGGGAGGCCCAGCCAGATGGGCGGGGTATAAATAATAAATTATTATTATTATTATTATTATTATTATTATTATTATTTATTATTATGGTACTCAGGTGTGAGACAGTTCTTCCCTCTCAAAGTTTAGAAGTTTGCAATGTAAGGAGCAGTATTTATCTTTTCAGAAAAATAAATAAATATGTGATTGATTGTTTCAAAATTAGAAACACTCAACCAGTGTTACTCAACCTGGCCTGTGTATGTATCCAGTACAACCTTAAACATCTAATGAGCCTTCCCTTATGTCATAGTCAAACAAAAGATCTGAAAGTAGGTTTGTTGCTTTCAGGTCTCGTATTTTCAAATCTTGACACAACAGGCTAGCAGTGTTCATGAGATTACCAAAGATGTGAGGATCCATATTTGTTTAGGTTCAACTCACCAGGTTTTCAGGAGTGAACACAAGAATCAGAACAAGTGCAGAGTGTTAAGAGACTTTCACTTCATGGGTTGGAACCAACATCTGTGTCTGAAAAGAGATACATACTTCCAGTAGTAGGGGCTCCCTTTGGTAGGATATTTTTGAGAGTGGACTGTTTTTAGATTAAGTTTAGGAGGCTAGTTCATAACCTTTGGCTGAGCACACAAGCTACAACATGGAGATAAGACTGTGTAAGCTAGCAAGCACATGCAGGGTTGCAGCAATTCTAAGTGCTTCCGTGATCATGGGTGCCAGAGCAGCCCCATGTAGCTGCTTGTGATTTTTTTATTTTATTTGTAAGATTTATATCCTGCCCTGCCCTTAATTGTAAGTGATCTTGGGATGGGTCACATTCAGATAGAAACATAAAATAAATAAATAAAATCTCAAATATGAATCACTTAATCTGTTTACGAAAACAATACAGGGTGGCTCAGTTTCTTGCTGCCCATATGCACAAAAACCTGGAGGGGGAAAAATAGGTATTTTATCTGGTGCCAGTTCCTGTGGAACTGTCTCTGTATGGTTGCAGACTTGGGTGAGCCTGAGGCTGATCCTGGCATTGCTCCTGCATGTTTTAACTGGCCATTTATCTAAACTGCCCTGGTGGGTGTTTTGCTTCTGTAACTTGCTGCGGGAGATGTTTGTGCAGTATGCTCTGTGAACTTTTAGCCTCTTGCATTCAGCAATGGACTTAAACTGTTGTGTGCCATTCTGTGAGGTAGGGAAAGATAGATGTATCTTTTCTCTTTCATCAATCTACCTTACCTGTCTAATCATTTTCATTAAAATAATGCACCATGTAGTCTGATCACATAATTGATGCTCAGAAGTACTTGGGAAGCAACCGCACACTTTGGCATCCTGGCCAGGAGCATAAAAGTCTGATTCTGTGCATGGCAGCAGCTGCACACAACCAAAGCCAAGGCTGTACAAAACAGTCTAGTCTTGTGCATGATGTACTAACTAGCTATGGCCAGTCAATGTAGCAATTTCGAACGGTATGCTCAACAATGACATAAGCTTCCTCTGAGTCTCCTAGGAAGGTTAGGTACCATTTTGCTTGCTAGACTTCAGTGCATTTTGACATCTTAAAAGTTCACGCCATTGCAACACCAGATTAAATAGTAACTTTAGCCCACCCCTTCTTATTTGTTTTAAAGAGGAGCAGAAACAAATTTGCTTCTTCTCATTCACAAAACCTTTTTTATTTGTATACGTTTTAGTCAGCTGCAATATAATGTGACCCACAGTTCATGAGACCTTTACATGGAAAGTGACCTATTTCCAAGGAGCTGCCAGATTAAAGTGACCTGCTGTTGACAGGAATGGCCTTTAGCACCTTGAAGCAGGAAATCATATGGCCCTTGTTACTAAAGAGTTAAATATTTGCTAATGTTTGTTTGCATTTGCTGAGGAGAGAAATCCTAGGGAATGTCATGGATTGCCTTACTATCATTGTAAACAGAAGACATATTGTGTAGAAGGTTCCTGGGCTCTTAACAGGTTATTTAGACAGAATTAATTCTGATTGTACGCCAGCAAAGAAAAAAACACTAGGGGAAACATTTGTTTGTTTGGTTTGATAGCCTTGTGCCATCTTTCCTGTAAGACCCATACTGTGTGCTGCTTCCTTTGACATCATTCAACAGTTTGAGCGGTCAACAGTGAATCACGACAGATCATATTTGGTGCTATACTTGTACAAAATGCTAGTTCTTTCTGCTGAAGTGCATTGGTTCCATTCATTTATCACTCCACTCTCCATGATGTAACTTTCCCAAGTTACTAACTGTTTTGTACCACCACTTCTGGGCTAACACCAAGTACTATGATTATTTGTACTTGAATGGGTAGAACCTTTTTGGAACTCTTTGGAATATGTGCAAAGCTAGCATATTGGAAAGAAAGTTGTTAGGCTCTTGCCACCAAACCAAAGTATCCCTGGCCTTGGTACCACCTTTCCCTGCCCCATCCCTGTCCTGGTCGTTGTTGCCAGGAAGAAAGCATTGCCACGCTGCCCCCCTCCTTGCTCCAATTCAGAGCTGCTGACTTCTAGTAACCTTCTGCTAGAAAAATAACAAAAGAGAAAAAGAAAAAATGTTTAAATCAAGAGTGTTTCTTTGGGGGGGGGTGATGATAGACTGTCACTCATAAAGATGTACAATTCGTTGTCACTAGTGAAGGCGCAATAAAAAGCAGTTTTGAAAGAGAATAGGACTTCAGTTTCTGACTCCCCTTTGAAGCATGCTCTTAATGTTCCTAATTTGGTTTTGTTTAAACAGTGTTCCCCGTGGCCAGATGTGCCTTATCAAGTGAACAACGCTCCGTCTCCAAGTTACAACAGCTCTCCAAACAGTTTCAGCCTTGGAGATGGGTACGTGATAAATATTTTATCTTTTCAGCTGACATTGGAGCCCCAGTTTCATGTTTTTGTTTCATAAAAAGAAAAAACCACACGCCCGTGTGTAAAAGATAAGGAAGTTTTAACTTCGCATTTAGTGTTATGTTGGAGCCTGCAATTCAACCCAAATATTATTTGCCGAGATTGCGAGACATACTGCTGTGCTCTTTTACTGCTCCCACTTGCTTGAAAGGTACTTGCATATTTAAATTACTTAAAGCATTTTCATGCCACTCTTCACCCAAAGCAGGTTCCCAGCATGACTCATGTCAATAAATGTCAATGATGAGACAGTTCTTGCCCTCAGGTTTGCAACCTAAGAGACACAAAACAAAAGGAAAGGGGGATTGGGAGGGAGGAGAGAAAAAACAAGCTCAGGCCTTAGTTTTAATTACAGAGTTGTTGCAATAACCAGCTACAATGGAAAGATCTTGAAATGAGCAATGTCCTGTCCCATCTCTCCCACTCCTATAGCCTGATGGAATAGAAGAGATTCCTTTTTAAACTTATACCTACTGTTGGCAGGTGTAGGGGAGGTGGGTTTCTTCAAACAAACAAACAAACTTATTTATATCCTGTTATTTTTCCAAGAAGTTCAGGGTGGCATACATGGTTCTCTGCTTCTCCTTCCCCATTTTATCCTTTCGTTAATCCTGGGAGGTAGGTTAGGTTGATAAATTGTGACTGGCTCAAGGACTCCCAATGAACTCAGTAATTGGATGACGGTTTGAACTTGCATCTCCCCGATCTTAGTTTGACCATTGCACCTCTCTGGTCTCCTTAATCCTAAATTAGCCAAGAATAAAGAATTTTTAAAGTCTTAAAATAAAACTCCCCTCCCCTCCTAATTTCCTTGAACATATTGGATATCCTTTCTATAGCAGCTACATTCCAAATCTGTAGAATCCAAGGGATTTGTGTTGCATCACTTTTTTTTTCTTTAAAGGGGGGCAGTCTTTCCATGTAGAACATAATAGCCTCCTTTTAAAAAACAAAGCAAAACCGAAACACACTTTGACTTCTCTTAGTGGAAACAACAAAGAGGAGATCTCTCCATGGTCTGTTATTTTGAACACCTGATTAGGCAACTTGTACTTGGAACGTGTTTCATTCATATACAGTGGTACCTCGGGTTAAGAACTTAATTCGTTCTGGAGGTCCGTTCTTAACCTGAAACCATTCTTAACCTGAGGTACCACTTTAGCTAATGGGGCCTCCCACTGTCTCTGCGCAGCAGCCATGCAATTTCTGTTCTCATCCTGAGGTAAAGTTCTTAACCCAAGGTACTACTTCCGGGTTAGCAAAGTCTGTAACCCAAAGTGTTTGTAACCCGAGGTGTTTGTAACCTGAGGTACCACTGTAATCCATCTGGAGAGAGGGAGAGAAGTGGGGACGGGGGAGGGACAACAACCAGCACTATTGAGGACAGACGTTAAAAAAATCCTTTTTTCTTTCCCAATTCTGTACAATTTTTAGCAACAGTTCTCCAACTCACCAGGCGGAGCTCCTGCCTCCCAGCAATGACGTAAGTATTTGAGATCATGTTAATGTGGTGCTTTTCTTTTTTTAGGACACTGGTGAACAGTTCATTTCAAGACCCTCTTATTCTTTTTGCAATGTAGCATCTCCTTCCCTCTGCTTCTATTCAAGATGCTCAGCAGTGGCTTCAGCGAAATAGGTTTAGTCCATTCTGTAGACTCTTTTCAAGTTTCTCAGGTATGTGTGTTAATATGGCCCATGTGCCTTTTATCCTTCCTAATGTTCCTTCAAGGGGGTAACTCTGTTCTTTAAGTAATATAGACCATTGGCCTTTCTGTATGGATAGTCCTAATGGGAAATAAATGCACACTGATTTCACACTGCACCATTCCTCAAGATTATGCTCTTTCGGTGGGAATTCTGCATATTCCCAACACTCAGAAGCAACATTCTGTATCTGGGGCAGGAGAGAGGTGATGCCGCTCTCCTTCCCCTGCTCCCCCCAGTAAATAGTGCGTCCATTTTTTCATGGACAGCATCATTCTGTAAAACACAAATTCTGGTGGGCTTTCCTTGGTTTCTTCAGTTTGGGGTTTAAAAGTGGAGAAGTGACCTTCACATACCCTCACCCTTGCCTGAGGGCCATGCACTTGGACAGCCATTTTAGTTGGTTCAGGAGATGTCAGTTATATAATGTGAAAGATTCCTTGCTTCTGTGTTTAGTTACACTATGAGCTCAATTTGCACATGCTGCTGGAAGCAGGTTTTTGTGTCTGAGACCAGAAGTAACATGATTTTGCCCATGGCCATGAGTACTTCCTTCTGGATCTCTCCTCTCCCCACACATGCAATAGATTTGCACAAAAATATCTTTGTCAAGTGACTGCTTGCAATATTGGTTTTTTCTAATCAGAACTTGTATTCCTCCAGCACCTGTCTTAACAAGCCTGTGAAATTTGATTCGGTATAGAAGCTTGTTATTGGGGGGAAATGACTTTTGCTTGAAATGTTCAGGTGCCGACTTATTGAAGATGTCCAAAGATGACCTTATTCAGATTTGTGGCCCAGCTGATGGCATTCGACTTTATAACGCCATTAAAGGAAGGTTTGTCACATTTTCTGTTACAGCACCAGTTACTGCATTTTCAAATTTATGGGGTTTTTTTGTGTGCAGTGGGGAGATCCTTAAAAGCATATGTGTCACTGGAGACATACATAGTAAATAATAAAAATTGACTGCATCTTGTGATGGTACACTGATCAGCTGAGAGTTAGTGACGAGGTCACTCAATAAGCTTTGTGGCTGAACAAAGATTTGAACTGGAGTCTTCCTAGTCAGTCTTGACACTCTAGCCCAGCTTCAGGCTTGTGGGGTCCACTTGGTATTTTACTAAACCTCAGCTAGAATCTGATCCAGAAGACATACACTTAACATTTTTCAGCTCAGGAATTTGTTCTGAATACCAGAAATGAACTGAGTTCACTATCATTCCATAGCCGCCTCCACCCCAAGAATACATTTGAATATTCCCAGCTTTTTTCATTCCAGCAATATCATTTGGTGGTGGTAGCAGACTCTTCTATTGTTGAGCAATTGGGAGAAAGAAATCCATGCTGATTTACCAGTAGATTCCAGTCTACCTTCTGCACACCCCTGTTCTAGGCTTTGCATCACAATTGGGTCTCTACACAGTTATCCAATTTCATGTGCAGAGCAGCACTGTGCCCAGCTGGAAGCGTTGTGTCCTGTTACAGTGCCAATACTGAAAAGAATATTGTTTTGCCTGTAGGAACGTAAGGCCCAAGATGACCATTTATGTATGTCAGGAACCTGAGCAAAACCGATCTCACCTTCATCAAAAACGAGAGAATGGAGATGCTAATCTGTGTAGTAAGTGTCTTGTTCGTTTTGGCAAAGCTTGCCAGCCTTTCGTAATAAACTCTACATCCTTTGAAAAACTCTGGCTACCCGATAAAATCTATCACATGGGTAGGCAAACTAAGGCCCGGGGGCCGGATCTGGCCCAATCGCCTTCTAAATCCGGCCCACGGACGGTTCAGGAATCAGCGTGTTTTTACATGAGTAGAATGTGTCCTTTTATTTAAAATGCATCTCTGGGTTATTTGTGGGGCCAACCTGGTGTTTTTACATGAGTAGAATGTGTGCTTTTATTTAAAATGCATCTCTGGGTTATTTGTGGGGCATAGGAATTTGTTCATTTCCCCCCCTCAAAATACAGTCCAGCCCCCCCCCAAGGTCTGAGGGACAGTGGACCGGCCCCCTGCTGAAAAAGTTTGCTGACCCCTGGTCTATCTAATTGCTATTAGTATGATCAATTTCAAAAGTTCCTCTTTTCCAGAATGAACCCAAAGTCATATAACCTCTCCCCACACCACACACAACTAATAGCTTAGGGACTGATCCTGTTCAGCCAGCACACTCACTAATACATAAGTATGAACAGACACAGGGTTGCATTTAATGGGAGGAATGCAACACCACACACTCCTGATCATTCCACCAGTGCAAACATTTTGTCTTTCCAGATGGAATAACGCCCCCCTTGCCCTGTGCACTGTTCTGGGGGTTAGCCTGACATCCCCTCAAGCTAATTTTAGTGTGTGTGAGAGTGGCTGTCTTCTCTTCTTAGAGTCACCAGATTATATATAAAAAAACCAGGAGTAAATTTTGGCAGATGAATCTTACAATGCAGGATTCTACCCACTGAAATCCTGTCAGCTACAGAATGGTTAAAAGCCACGCTGCTTGCCTCTCTGTGAAAACACTCTCTCTCTCTTTTTATAATCTGTGATTGTCTTCCAAACAGGGAAACAGTGATGGTGGCCGTTTTGAGTAGTTTCCAGCAAATATTGAAGCAGAAAATTTTCCTATGCAAATCAGGGTAATTTGCATCAGGAAATTTCTTGCTGCCCCAGGGAGTGGTCTAATTTAGCAAATTTGTTTAAGAAACTAAGCTGAAAAAAGGTATCCCATGTTATATTTTTTTGGCCCAATACACCTTAAATATTTTACTTGAAGTATTTAGAGGGGAGGATTTTAAAGCGCACTTTTAATATGCTTTAAATGTTACAGTACATAGATTTTTTTTATTGGAGTACTTGTAAAAATTTACAAGACAATCAACAGTGTTTGAATTTAAGAAAAAGCAGAATGACATTCTTGCTAAGGATAATCGCCTTAAAAACCTTAATTAAAACTTTGAAACTGCCAAGTTTGCCTAATATTATTATATCACAACTGGCATTCATGAACTTATGAAGTGGTAATTTTTCCACCCCACCACACTGGATGGTGGTAGTGTCACTACTATTAATAGCACTCACCTTGAGGTTAGAATATGTTCTGTTTGTGGAGCCTGACCCACCAGTTGAAAATGAATGATTTGTTGGGTCAGGGTGTTAGTTTAAACCAGCCCCTCCCCAAAACACTAGCCCTGCCTGGCAAGGTTAGGAGACTGCTACACATGTTCTGAATGTTTTAATGATTATCATTTCTAAAAGCAACACTTAGGCTTGTGGTTACGTTCCTGGGGCTAATCTAGCTGAGCACATGTTTGCTAAAAAGAAAAATAGAAAAATTGTAGTGGTATTAAAATCAGTGAGCATACTGGAAAGGAAAATGGTTTTCTGTGCCTTACTTCATAGTTTTCCCCAAGCTGGCTGGAGGCAAAGGCACCCAAACATGGGAAGGTGAGGTGGGGAAAAGTTTAGCTCCCCCGTGTGCTTATTTTGGTGATGAAAAGGACACCTACTCCCTCTTTCATAAGAGCATGCATGTTTTGAATTTTTCATATCTGAACTGCAAAATTAAAAATGCAGAAATGTGCAAAAGTAATGACTGGGTGGCGACTTCTTTCTGTCATGATTGTGAACTTCTAAATGCTTTTCTTCTCTTAAGTCTTAATATTCTAGTGTGTGCTAAGACAAAAGCAAATGAGGGCTGCTTTGCAAAAGTTAAATATTTTCCCTTAAATATATGCAAATCCATTGGTGCATGTCTAAATATTTCTCTTTCCCCAATACTGTTGCAGTATACCATGCTATCTTCTTAGAAGAGCTGACAACAGTGGAATTGATGGAGAAGATTGCCAACTTGTACAGTATTTCCCCACAGCAGATAAACCGAATCTATCGGCAAGGACCTACAGGGATCCATGTATTGGTGAGCAATGAGGTAAGAGTTTTAACTGGAATGCGTCCCATCTAGTTCTAGCTATTGATGTGTTTAGGACCTGTTCTCTGACCTTAGTGTGACTGACCTTCATAATGCTGTGGATTGTGCGTTTTGCTCTGGAGGCTCTGAGTTCTAAAATGCTAGAACATATCATCATATGCAGCGTTAGCAGTGAGGATCACGGTATGAAGAACCTGATTATAAAGCTCATTTTGCTTTTCTGTTTATACAATACTTTTTGGTAAGGATGGATATGAAGGGAAGTAGTCCTCTTATCAAGCATTGTTGACAAAGCTGGTAATGAAATGGTGGGAAAGGCATATTCATTGCTTTCCCCTGGACTCTCTTCCACTTCATTTCAGCTCATATAGTGCACAGCCTTGGCCTCAATGTTTAAAATTGACTCTTAGAGGTTGTGCTTGTCTCAAGTGAATAGGCACAATTTCAAGTGGCCAATAGGTAAGATTTCAGCACCATGAACAGTTCCTTCTGCCTTTACACATTTTGCTTCTGCTCGTCTCCATCTTCAGGTTTGTTCCCTTGCCTAAAAACCACAGATACTGAAAGGCAATTCGAAATATAGAAGTATCTGGGGAACATAAAAAATTACATTTTAAGCATGCAGTACAACCACATTCCCGATAAAATAATGGTACTGAAACATGCAATCACTTTCACCCCTAGAAAGTAGAAAGAATTACAGAGAACCCAATATTTCCCCTTTCACATTGACATTGCTTTGTCAGTGAGTTAGTTTAATGGTTGCGTTCAAAAGTGGGTGAGCTTCAACAAGCTTGAGCAAAGTATCTGGTTTGTGTGCTAACCCCCTTATGCATGGCCAGTTGAAGGACTTCTGCCAAATTTAGTTCCATTTTTAAAGAATCTCTGCTATGAAGCTGGCTTATTAAGCTTGCTATAATCTCATTCGAACAATCTGCAGCATTGCTTAACTTTGACTTAGTGGGGTGGGAGAAGGGCACACGGAATCTTGGATAACAAAATGTTAAAGCTGAAATATATGTACAGCATGGAAAATACTTTGCAAAAACAATAAAACCTTTTGAGCCCTCATCCAAGTTTCTTGGAAGCAACAAGATGTCATTCATATGGGAGCAAGAATCCCACTTACTTGCTTCCAACCATTCCCACGAATGTCTCATTTTGTTCTATGCTGCATATTTTCCATGGTAAATATTCCCAGCCTTTTCTAATTAAGCTGTGGGCTGCATGCTCTAGAATCACTTAAGAACCATCGTTGTATATGACCCCTGGAGAACACAGTTAAAGCAGAGAGCAAGGCTTCCAGTGCAACTGTGGGTGAAGCCTGCAATTTTTATTCTGAAAGTCTCCCTACCGTTTCACTCTGATGAATCTGAAACCTCCAGTGTTTGAATAGTCATGAAGTGTTTTAAGGCAGCCTCTGGAAAGAAGAATTGCCTCAACCAGCTAGGGTGCAAGGAGACCCTTCATTACATGCTTGAGTTACTGATTAACAACAATTGCCTTATTTTTGTGTTCTGGTGGCAGGGCAGCAAGAGTGATGCAAACAGCAGTCACCAATTGGATGTTCTTCATGCATCATTAGATATGGTGTATGGGTGCAGCACTGGACTTAATTTTGGTGGATATTTTTCTGTGTGAAGGTGACTGGGGAGTAAGAGCACTGTTGTGTGGAGGAAAGCATAGCCTAAGAAGACGGAAGTCAATGGCTATCACCTATGATAACACCTAGCACAACTTAAGTCATACACACAGAAGACCCATTGAAATTAATGGGCATGACTAATGGAGTTGGTTAGGTGAATCTTGACCTCCATTTTTTGGGGTGGTGGGCTTTATAGCTCCTCCAGTCTCTACCATTTGCTTATCTACCATTTTTGCATGTGTGCTGCTGCAAAAATTCCTCTAGGAAGCACCTCATGGTTGCACGTCCTTTTTGAATAGCCCTACTGGCCTCTGTACACTGACGGTTCCTTTGTTTTCAAACTAATAGCACCCTGTTGATTAGGAAATGTATATTTCCTTTCTGAAGAAAATATGTGTGTGTGTCAATAAATTCCAGATTTCTTCCATTTGTCTTTTTTATCCAGATGGTACAAAACTTTCAAGATGAATCTTGTTTTGTCATCACGACGTTAAAAGGTATATACACATATTTCCTGCCACAATAGTAGGATTTGCCTTCACCAAAATAAGGGTGTTGGAAGTCACTTAAGGGGATCCAAAAATTCTCAGACGTAAAATGACAAATGCATAAACAGCCGAACAGGATAGTCAGATACTATGAAAACAGAAAAAGGGGCGGTGTCACCCTTTCCTTCAGGGGCCTCAAATTTGAGTGGTGAAAGTTCCCAGAAGCAAACAAGCGAGGGTGTGCACTGTTCTGCCAGTGCATTTGTACCACACCAACCCCGCTGCTGCCTTGTCTCTCTTGCTCCCCCCTCCTGGTAAGGTACACCTACTTACCTGCCAGGAAATTAGCATAGTGGCTCTATCTATTTAGTTGTTCAACATTTGATAATTCTTTGCCATATATGAAGCTCCTCATGTAAACTATCATTTCCATGCATTGGGGTGTCCTTTGCTTCTGCCCATATATTTATATATTTCTCTTAGCTAGTGTTCTGTCACCTTTCCTTCCACACTGTACCAAACTTATTTTCTTTCGTAATGTGACTAAAACTACTTAGATTTTCTAACAATCCACATCCCATAATGTAGTGCTAAGATGACATTATAGCACATACATTATTTCTTGAAATGGATGTCCACAGCCTCTTGTTTGTCACGCAATTTGCATCTGTAGAAAGTGCAGACTAGTAGGGTCTTCAGTCAGGTGTGTGTGTGTGTGTGTGTGTGTGTGTGTGTGTGTGTGTGTATTTCAAAGTTTGAAGTTAAAGCACTGATTAAAGGTTTCTCCCCTCTTTTCTCTCTCTCTCCTGCAGCTGAAAGCAATGATGGCTACCATATCATTCTGAAATAACCCTCTTCTATGTATGTTGGGACTTACAACATTATGATGCCTCACTGCAACCCAGACTGAAAAGATGGAAAACTCATTTGTATAATAGTGTTCTTATTAACTGAATGCCCTAACAGAAAAATTAAAGTGTGTAAATTTCAGAGTGTTGGGGACTAGACGTGGTCTTCGGAGTTCATCTGATTATTGTTTTGAATTGCATTTCCTTTTTAGAACTACCTGTATGCATTTTTGTTCATTGTTCAAAACCATGTGCCTTATTAAAACAAAAATGACTTAATATGAAAAGCACTTCTCCCAAACCTCCAGGGGCTAGCATTATAAAGGCTGATCATCCTGGTTACAAATGTAGCTAAATGTATATACAGTACTACTTTTCCTTCTCTTCCTAGGTAATATAGATAACCAGACAGCTACGGATTCTTTCTTCTTAAAGCAAATTTGCAATTATCACCTAAGTTCCTAAGGAGGGTAGTTACTTTCCTGCATGCTTCTTTTGTTGTTGCATCTGACAACAGACCAAGCAGAAGCGCTATTTCCACACACCCCTTTAGTTATTCTGTATAACTCTTACTTGCTCATTTTAATTAGGTGGCTTTGTTTTAGGACTTCAAATTGAAATAAGGACAAACCAGGGCAAATTTTGCCCTCAGCTGAATTGTGCGCCTCATTTGTGGCTATGATATTCCCCCCCAGTAAAACTCAAAAGCTACCACTGAGATCTACTGGAGAAATGAAAAGGGCTGACTGGAGAAATGGGCAGGTTTTGCTGCACATCCAGTTTGCAGTTGCCCCATGGAACTCAGTGAGAGATTTAACTTTGGAAGAAAGCGCACTAGCTGTGTGTGTGTGTGTGTGGGTGGAGAGAAGTTATATATGAGGGGAGAGGTTAGCAAATACTTATCCTCCAGGGCATGGAGCAAGCACTGACCCTCATCCAGTAATGTGTTCACAAACTGGTCTCCTTTCTGCTATAAAAGTATGACAGAAGGTTATAGGTTTGGTCAAAGATCTCTCACGTGCCTTGGACTTTGCTTATGGCTGTGAGCAACGTTTCTTCCTCCTCTTCTGAACACTCTTGTTTCAGGCTCTTTGCTTCAAAAGCTCTCAAGGCAATGTTGTCGCTAAGGGAAAGAGGAAAGATGGAAACTATGCATTCCTCTCCTCATGTCTACCCTTCCCTGGCAGTTGTATGTGCATATCATATGCCTGCTTCACCAACAATTGTATGTTAAGCTTCTTAGGTTAATAAGGTCTGTGCTGTTTCCACTTGCATCTGTGGATTTGAATATTCTTTATTTGTTTTTAAGAAACAGTTGCACCCCTTTCTGTTTTTTTTCTTTTTCTCTTTACACCCCATCCTGCTACCACTTCTTCCTTTTGAGTATGGATTATAGAAGCTTGTATATAGATAGGTATAAATATTTACACTCATGGTCCTAACTTTAAATATTTAAAAGCAAGAGTCCCATAATTTTGGGGGCTGTTTTAACATGGCTCTGAAGTTGTCAGTAAAACTAAGGAATCTTGCAAATTTTCATAATACTTAAGAAGTTAAATGGAAGTACCAATACAGTAATCATCAAGAAGTATAGGAAGCAAAATATTCAGAAAGAAATGTCCCATAGTCTAACTGGGGAGGTGTTTGCTCTGTTGATTTCTCAGTTCTGCTCCAATCCAGAAATTGGGTATAAATGTTTTCTTTTACCCAAATTACCCCCTAAGTGATTCTAATGTATTAATGTATTTTCAGATATTAATGTCACAGGACATACTGTCATAAAGGCAGACAGCTACTTCTGTGGCAAAATAAGTCTAATTACTTTGCTGATATGAGTGCCTTCTTGTGATGCTCTTTTCTAAAATGTGTGTTTTTGTTGTTGTTCCCCTATCGTCTAATTTGGCAAGTGAGGCTGCAATCCTGTACCCGCTTATCTGGAAGTAAAGTCTCATTGAACTCAGTGGGCCTAAGCTGCTGAGTAGACAGGAGTGTGCAGATTGTGCTGTGAGCGATCTTATGAAAATCTTTGTGTATAAGTAACATTTTTCTCTACTAATATTGTAAAGAATGTTAAGCTGGACGGACACACGCACAGTGTTATGCGGTCAGTCTGTCATTGAGCTGGACACTTGCACCCTGATCCATTGAGTGCAGTGGGTGTGCAGAAGCAGGCTTCTGTGCAGTGATTCCCTGCTGCATCAGGAACCATGCATACAGAAGAGTAATGCACATGTAACTCCCTTGTTTGGTTAAGGGCACTGCCTGCAGTGCTGGCCACTGAAGTAGGATGGTGCATTCAATGGCCAACAGATGGCCACTGCCCAGATGGGTTGGAAAGACTTTATATGGCTGCCTCCTCTAACATTTGACAGGTATCTGTTGGGTTGAGTGCACATGGCTCATTCCTCATGTGCAACAGTGCATGGGGCTCCTTCGAAAAAGGAGAACTTGCCTTTATCTGACTCGTAGAGTGAAGGGAAACATAAAAAAATATTTTTACACTCCCTGAATGGCTCTAATGGGCACAGCTATCATGGTTCAAAATTACATTTAGCACATTTGTAATTTGTTGTGTTTCACGGAAGTATAAACACTGTACTTTTGGTAAAGGAAACCCTGACTTCTTTAACATAATAATAATTAATAATAATAATAATCACAGCTTTTTATAGCAGATGGGTAGATAACTATAGAAATAGACTGGACAAAGCTTGATATCTTTTAAGTTAACAAGTGCTGAGCTGTTGCTGAGCTGTCTGTGTTAATAACAACACATTTTCCCTGGCTTATTTGTACCTCTGAAACACTGAACTAGAATTCTTTATAGTCCTCCAAAGGAAGATGACATTTATTAGGTGGAGTTAGCATTAACGTGCCGATTACCTCTACACGCACATAGGAAAACATTGTTTGCCAATATTCCATTTCACTGTCGCTGTAGTCTGGGATAAGGTGTGTGAACCTCATTTTGGGACTGGAGTTTTCAGCATGCACAAGGAAGTTGACTAACTTTAATACTTTTTAATAGGCTTGTCTCAGGAAAAGCTTTAAATTAGTACCTCCCCACCCCCCTTGTCAAATGTATATTTGTGTGTTTTGCACTCGACTTTGTTATCTTCTGGAGGGGGGAAAGCTCTTAAATGATCTTTTAAAAATTAAATTTCTTTTGTCTGATTGGGGGTAGGTATTTCTGTCTTTCAAAGGGTTATGGGAGTTCAGTTTTCTTCACCTGTAATGCAGCAACCATTTAAATGGGTGTGATTTAAATGAAGGGGGGAGGAAGGGAGGTCAAGCGTAAAGAGTTGTGAGTATACTGCCAGATTCTCTCTTGGTTTTTATATATAGATTTTTAAAAAAAACCAAAAACGAAACCTGCATATTTTGCACTGGCCATTCTACTGTTGTACAGAAGAAAAGACACATCTGTATTTAGACTCTGTGCTCCAGTAAAAATGCAAATAAACTTTGTAAGAAATACCTTGCACTTTTTAAGTAGATTGATCATGTATTTTCACCATATAACATTTAAGTACTTCCTGTTTGGGTTTACTCTTGCGACTTCAGAACCAACATCAACATCAGGGCCTGCTCCAGTTGGACTGTCCACTAAACACATACATGCATCTCCAGGACCACATTTATATTTCATATACTATTATTTGTTTTAGTAGTTTGAAATTGTGGACCCCCTTGGGTGTTTTGTCAGAATAGGTGGTATGTAAATATCAGCTAGTATCTAATGTAGCTCTAGCAATACATCCTGTTCATTGCAAGGTTTTCTACCCACATACCATCCTCGCAGCCAAGAGCTATGCAAAGGATTTGTCAGAAATGGGCCTCTTTCAGGAGAAGAGAGTTTAAAAGGTGTTACAAGTAGGCTGGTTAAAAGCTAAACCTCTGCTGCTCAGGTTTCCTTTGGATGGGGATGCATTGGTGCTAGAATTATGATAGGGGGTGGGTAAGACGGAAGAGAGCAAATTCACAAGTTTAGCCAGATCACAACCTCCATGCACAACCTCTGTATAGCCTCGTTAAGTTGCTGTGGTGTCACAAAAAGTAAATTATGGTTCCCTTTGCCCTACTGGCTTTCATCAACACTCTGGAAATGGGGACATCTGAACAGGAAATGGAAAGATCCCACAGAGGTGTAGCAGGTCATTAAAAAATGTTCACGGTGACTGGCATATTCCTCAGAATCTGGTACCTGCTATGGAAGGTTTTTAGCCTGAAAACTGCAAAGACCTCAAAATCAAACCTATTGCCACCCTGCATTATACAAAGTCCTTAATAATCCATATTTCCAATCTATTCTATGTCCTTGTGAAAACTCCCTATTATTGTAGCCATAATAAGGAATGGTTTGCTTGGCCTTGGGTCCTCCTCTAGAGGCTAATTTCAGCCCTGAAAATAGAGATTATTTTTTTGTGACTGGGTGAAGGCACACATGAGGTTTAACTGCTGAAGACAAGGCAGCTGGTTGGCAGGTGTCTCAGGAGACAATGGAGGAGTAAGCCTTTGGTGGAAGGTTACAGCGCCTGCTGTGGCTGTAGAGACCGATGCAGGAGAGACATGTTTTGTTGCATATAATGTTCTCCCCTCCACCACCACCAAGTAGCCCTAGTCCCATGCAGTCAAAAGAAATGGCTTCAATTTAGGCAGGTTTGGGCAGCACAGCTGTTACTTGTTTTTGATGATTCTACTTCTGTAGTGGCTCACAGTACTCTTTAAAACAGGGGTCAGCAAACTTTTTCAGTCTACTGTTCCTCAGAGCTTTTGGGGGGCCGGACTATTTTTTTTTTGGGGGGGGGGAAATGATGCAAGAGTGCCATGAGCCCTGGTGGCTGCTTACCTGTGTCTTGCAAGTGGCAGAGCCTGGCAGCGGCAGCGGCAGGACAATGAGCGGCGTGCGAAAGGGCTCCAGAGAGGGGCTGCTTAAAATGGCAGCAGCTTTGGCACAAACAAAGCCCAGCACCCTTCCTCCTCTTGGCAGGGCAGGGAGAAGCCAGGAGGAGGGAGGGAGGAGGCGCCGCCATGTGAGCGAGGGAGGGAGAGGGAAAGAATGCACACGCTGGTGATCCACGCGGTGATTCCCGGGTCATATCGAGAAGGCAATTGGGCCTGATCCAGCCTGTGGGCCTTAGTTTGCTAAAACAGAGTTCCAACCAACAGAAGACCCATCTCCTTATCACTGTATTGGATGAACACCTCACTCCCAGTGACAGGAACATCCCCTGAGTAGAGTTACAAGGAACGGTTTGGCCAGCAGTTGTAGCAATATGAAGAAGAACACTTGAAAATCAACCCAGGGAATAGTAAGAAGAGTAAGAATGCACAGCAGCCATCAAAGTCCCTCCCCCCCCCCCCAATTCACAATACTGCTAACTAATTTGTTCCAAATACTCTTTAGAATACAGTGCACATGATCTCACTGAGCATTAAGTACTGAGAAGTGTCAGGCCGTAAAACTCAATTTTGGGGGGGGGGGGACTTAGAGCATTTGACAGCTTTCTTTGGCTCCATGAGGTTTAGAAATGGTTCAAGATGCCATGGAAGCAAACAAAATGCCCTTGCCAAACTCTGACAGCGGATTTAAGGGGGGGAGATACATTAGAAAGCCACCAGAAGCCAATGGCTATAATTGGATTAAAGTTGAACCGATTTTTTTTCTTAATATAAAGAATCCTTCATAAAATGAGGAAAGAAATTTTGAGGTTAGAACAACTTGGCCAAACCTTTCCACTAATCTGCTTTAAATCTACACAGCAAGGAAGTTATGTTTTAAACTTGATTTTTTGCCTTGTAATAATACAGCTTTTCATTAAGGGTCAGTAACACAGCCAACAGTAATTGATGAACAGCACAGCAGTACATACCAATGTACCTTACAAACAAGGCTAACTACATATTTATTCTTCCTCTGGGGTAACCCCAGCTTACTCTGCTTTCACAATGTGTCTGACAGATGTACTTGTAATTAACATGCCACATGTCCATTTATTAACATAGGCTGCAATCCTGCAGACCGCCTATGTGGGTTGGAAGCCCCTTTAAACTCAATAGGATTTACTTCTCAGTCCTACAGCTGGGGGGGGGGCAGCGGGCAGACTGTTTGGGCAGCGCGGAGTCTGCATGCGCTCAAGCCACCGCATTTCTCCCAGGAGAGATGCGCGGCTTGGGTGCACTGCAGGCCCAGCAGTGAGTGCTGCCCAGCATTTTGTCACCCCCTCAGTGTTGACACCCGGGGAGGCCCGCACCTACCACACACCCCATCCTCCACCTCAGCCAGGACCAACTGGTGAGGAGGAGAAACAGTGCCCTGAAACATGCCTCCCCACGGCAGAGTCACTGCCACTGTTTTTTTTTAATTTAATTTAACAAAAGCAATATAACACTTGATTGTAAATAAATAAATCTCTTAAGTTGTTTACAAAAATAAAAGCAATGGGCTGTGGAGTTTAGTGCTGTGTAGGCACACTGGCAGAGCCAACCTGGCACTCTTGCCAATGTGACCACATAGCACCAACCTCCCTGCCCCCTTGCTCCTCCTCCTCTGGGATGGCTAGGTGCACACTGGGATGCTGGATGTGCAGTGCCAACACTCCTCACCAGTTATTTCTAGATAGGATCAATGATGCTGGACTTGAACTTGATGCAAACACTCTGCCAAGGTTTATTTTCTAATCTAGGACTACTTTGCATAGGGGTGTGTGTGTGTGTGTGTGTGTGTGTGTGTGAGAGAGAGAGAGAGAGAGAGAGAGAGAGAGAGAAAAAAAAACTTAAATCAACAGCAAAAGGTGATGGGACCCTGTAGATCACAAAAAGCAACCTCACTAAGTTCAGGTACATCATCATCATCATCATCAATTTATTATTTATACCCCGCTCATCTGGCTGGGTTTCCCCAGCCACTCTGGGCAGCTCCCAACAGAATATTAAAAACACAATAAAACATCACGCATTAAAAACTTCCCTAAACAGGGTTGCCTTCAGCTGTCTTCTAAAAGTCAGATAGTTGTTTATTTCCTTGACAACTGATGGGAGAGTGTTCCACAGGGCGGGCGCCACTACCGAGAAGGCCCTCTGCCTGGTTCCCTGTAACCTCGCTTCTCGCAGTGAGGGAACCAGCAGAAGGCCCTCAGCGCTGGATCTCAGTGTCTGGGCTGAATGGTGGAGGTGGAGACGCTCCTTCAGGTATACTGGGAGTAATTTACCAATGAGGTACATATGGCAGAATCTCAGAAAATGAAGTGACAGAAGTAGACTGGGGGGAGGGGGAGGAATGCCCTCCTGAGGCTGGTGGGTTTATGCCCGCCCCCCAACAATGCAGATTTTACATGGCTCTTCTTACCTCCTCACAGGAGTCAAATTCAGGTCAGAATGACACAGGCTCCCAGTGTGGATTAAGCAACTGCAGCAGTCTGGAAAACCAGTAGGCCTGAGGGCAAATATAGCTAGGTGTCTCTCTCAGGGTAATTTCATACTTTGGAATGTCTGGATAATATAAACCCTGCCCCTAACCAATTGCTGGGTAGAATGGTTGGGCAAGGTATACAGAAAACACCTTTCGCTCCACCGAATACAGATTGTATTTGTGGTGTCTTGGCACAGGACATCCCATCTCCTCGTAAACGCTTCAGAATGTGAGGAGCTGTTAAGGTTGCCAACTTTTTTGCTGGCTTGAGGCTGTGCTTTTAGTAGCAGTCTGCCATGCATCAGTATAGCAATGAAACTTTTTTCCTGACATTGTGATAAAAAGTGGGAAAAGCTTTGCCTGCTAAATTCCTACCTGAGAGCTGGTTGAGGGTCTTCAGAGAACTGGCATGCAGAAAAGTGGAAATGAGAATATTCTGAATTACAGATATTTCAGTTACAAGCAGCCTTTATTCCTCAGGATTTTACAACTCTGGGTGATTAACAGTGCAGTCCTCTGTATGCTTTCTGCCTTCAATGGGGCTAATGCTCTAGGAAGTCTGTTTAGAACTGTAGCCTAAAGTATATTTTTAACTTGTATCACTGAGAAAATATAAAGAAACTTACAAATTTGGATCCACATCACCGTGTCCAAATGGAATTACTAGACCAGAGAAAGAAAATGGGAATTGTAAATTATCCCAAGGCATTCCAGAAGAAGCATTTCTATTATCTACTGTACAGTGGTAACCTCTGGTTGCGAACGGGATCCATTCCGGAGGCCTGTTTGCAACATGAAAAGCCCGCAACCTGAAGCGCTGTATCTGTGCAGGTGTGCGGTGCGTTCTGGTGCTTGTGCGCATGCGTGAAGTGCGATTGGCGAAACCCGAAAGTAACCCTTTCTGGTACTTCCAGGTCGCCGCGGGACGCAACCTGAAAAAACTTAACATGAAGCAAACGTAACATGAGGTATGACTGTATACATGATGGAATAATAATGACAGAATGAATGGTTCCCAAACTGTGGTCCACAAACTTCATTCAGGCGTGTCTTTGGATTTGTCACA